TCTACTGTGTAGCCCAGTCTAGGTGGAGGGGCCTCTCTTCTGAGTACAGCAACTGAGGAAAGACAGGGATAGCTCCCCTGCTCTTATGACCTTAGGGCCAGCTCTGCCATCTGAGGGTGGGGGTCTCTCCTCCATTCATGCCCCCTCCTGACAGGTGAATAATGGGACAGCTTTCCCACTCGCCTTCTCAGGCTTTGGTGAGGGGAGAATCTCTCTGCCGCCCACGCTGCCATTGACAGATGAGTAATGGGGACAGCTCGCCCCTTTGCCTCAAGTGTTGATGGGTGGGGGAGGGGAATAAATAGGTGGGGAGTACTCTCCCTACCCATGTCAAAGGCTACTTTTTGAGTTCGTATTTTCTACTACTGCTAGGTGACGGGAGGCACCATTGTTTGCAGATTGATCTAAAATAATAAAGCAGCAGCATTTTGTCTGTTTTCATCACTCCTTCTGCTTCCACTTGTAAATTTATTGACAGGTACTAGTAGGCAGGATGTCAGGGCCTTGGTCAAGCAGGAAATGGGAATGGTCGGTGGAGGACTAACTACATTGCCTGACCCAGAGCGACAGGAAGAAAAGACATCAAGGCCGTTTTTGCCCAAGGATGGTTGTGTTTGCTGGATCCAGAATTCCCTCACTGGTCCTGAGCCAGTAACTGGGGCCATGAAGACACATGTCTTCTCATGGCAGTCACAAGCCAGGGTGAACCTGAGCTTGCTCGGATGTTCTGAATGGAAGAAGTTGAGGAGGTACCAGAGACGAGCAAGTGGTTCCTCTCAAGGTGCAGAGGGGGTAAACATCAGAAACTGTAGCTATAGTAAGAGGGGTGGGGTGATGGGGAATTTTAAACTGAGGTTTTCTTCAAATCCTTATGGCAGTTTCAATGTCTTTATAATTTGGAGTGATATACCATATATATATATATAACCAAAAATTTTCAAGGCTATCTTAATTATCAGAGATGACTCAAGTTTGCTTCCCTTTACCTCCTTTGAGCCACAGTTGGAGACGATCAGTGATGGTCAAAGCCATTTGACATATATATATATATATATATATATATATATATATATATATTTATCAATCCAGCCTTCTTCTCCCACTTCTGATAAGTAGAAGTATAGCTGCTATGGTTGCCTTTTAACCAGCCGATGCCAAAGGATTAGACTAGTTTCATTTGACCTCTTAATTTACATTTTTAGTTTTGGTTTGTGTCATCTTAACAGGAATTTTTTTAATTGTCACATGTATTTCTATGAAAGCTCATTTTATCCAGGAATAAACTGTTGAAAAACATAGCAGAGACCCTGAAGGTTAAGCTTGTTGTCAGTAGGACAAAGCCCTCCTTTGTTTTATCGCAGACTGTTTGCGTAAATTGTGATTATTATAACAAAGAACAATAAGAAGTTACCATCTGTTACAAACAATCTCTTAACCTTCTTAAGAAAGTGACTGTTTCGTTGTTCTGAACACAGTCACTTTGTCACAGATTGTGAGCTAATGTGAATTTTCACATTCCACGTCCCTAACTGCATTAAAGATAGATCTAGACGCTCGGTAATCTGAGTCTGAACACCCTGTGGCACATTTAAATTATGCATATCATTGAGTTGATGTAAATGATGTTGTACGTGCTTCCAGAGTAAATAATCTCCATTATTTATCTTCAGATTCAGCCATCAGATAATTCTAAATGCATTTGCCAGGCTCTCTCGGCATCTCTGAGGAGGTGGCTGTTTGGGTGCCAAGCTGCAATCCAGTGAAATGGCTCACAGCTTCATGGCAGGCTGCACCAAAGGCCAACCAATGGCTTTGACCATCACTGATCGTCTCCAACTGTGGCTCAAAGGAGGTAAAGGGAAGCAAACTTGAGTCATCTCTGATAATTAAGATAGCCTTGAAAATTTTTGGTTTGATATCTATTTCCACTAGGTAACTGCTTCAAAATATAATATCCGGCATGTACTTTTAATAGAATATTTTTTTTATTTTGACAACTTCATACATGTAAACAATGCATGTTGGTCATATCTACCTCAAAACATCTGTATTTAACTTCAATTATTCCTTTCAGTGTTATAGTGCATAACCAATGTGGTGCTTATACTGAGCACAATTGCATATCTGAAGTCCTTAAAACATACACTGTCTCTGTTAATTTCTAGGAAAATACCCTTAACATGAAATGTTAGACTATCATCTAGCCCACTTAAAGCACCAAGTTGACAGCACCCTTTGCATGGAATTGTTAGAGATAGCCTCATAGAGACTTTCTGCATTTGAAGCAGTCTCCACTCAGATTTTTGTCATAGGCTGCGTTTTCCTGGATTAGCAATTTGAGGCTTTTCTTCGAACTTTCCTGACATGTTCACACGTCTTCTACCTTAGACATCAGGGCGTCTTGGGGAGGGGCGGTCCTGAGCCTGCATAAAATGACATCACCCCTGTCACTTCAACTTGAAGCTGCAGCCTTGAATGGTGCCTCTGAGGCTATTTTGGAAATCCTATAGGTTCCTTACAAAAATAGGATCCTTCTTAGCCTTACCTTGAGTGATGCCTGATTTTGATATAGTCACCAATTTCCTCAGAATGATGACTTTCCTTTCCTTACTTATTTAGTTTTTTGAGTTGGGGTCTTCTTATATGGCACAGACCAGTCCATTTATTATAAAAGAAAAACATCATTTTCTTTAGCTAGATGGCGAGATGAATTCCGTGTTTATTAGAAAAGAGAGGCCACCCAATACAGTCTCTGGAGAGCAAAGATTATGCTAATATTCATATATATATATATATATATATATATATAAAGATTAAGCATATTCTCATCTCTTTCTAGATTCTTTATTAAATTTTTTATTTTGATAGAGGTAGAGCTTCAAGCTCTCCCAAGGCATCATGCATTTTGAACTGTACTTTCTGTGTAAGTTATGAGTTATGGAATTAATTACATGTTATTTGTTAATAAAACCCAACACCTTAGAATGTATATCAGAAGTCAGCTGTGAATAATTTTTGCAAAATAATTGCTGCTTGTCACTTGTAAAATTGATTAGCCAAGGAAATTAGTTTATGGGCACTTTTATATTTTTCTTATTTCTTTTGGGTCAGTGAGATGAATCAGTGGCTAAAGGTGCTTTCAAAACCTTGAGTTCAGTTCCCGGACTCACATGGGGAAGGAGAAGACAAACTCCTCGGAGCTGCCCTCTGACCTCCAAATGTACACTAGGGCGTGCCCCTCCAAATGAATGAATAAATGTAAACAAAATAATAAAGTGACACTTTATAAAAATGAAAATGAGAACCTAACAGTTGTTCAGTGATGACATTGTGATCCTGGTACTGAAGAATCTGTGCTAAGCTGTCTTTCTCTGCTGTTGTCTGCAAAGGAACCATTGCCCATCCCTTTCCACCTTCCGAAGTACCCATGCACATGCATACACACACACACATGCATACACACACACGTGCGCACACACACATGCAAACACACACACACGTGCGCGCACACACACACACATGCATACACACACACGTGCGCACACACACACATGCAAACACACACACGTGCGCACACACACACATGCAAACACACACACGCACTTGCAAACACATACACACATGAATGCATACACACACAGAAAAACGCATTTAGGACATAAAATTGCTTTCATTTACTAATAACTTTTTTAGAAATAGGGACACCCAATTTTACTTACAAACAAACAAAGAAAACCACTGTTAGCTTTAAAGCCACACGCAGTGATAGTAACTTCAATACCTGACTCTAACCTCTACATAGGTCAACTGGAAAAAAAAATCTAACCAGAGAAAGTCTGGAGTTAAATCACATCATAAACCAGATGGACTTAATACATATCAACAGAGTGTTCCACCAAAACTAAGGGTATTGGATTTTATCAAGGATATCCCCAAAGCTTTCAGCCTGTGCAGGTAGAGTAGAATCACCAAACTGAGTTGGGAAGAGCCGTTAGTGTAGGTATGGGGGAGCGGTTAAGAACAGGAGGCCCGTGTAGACACAGAACTCAAGCATGTTTTAAATATTAAGGGCAGCAGCCTATTGGGTAAATAATATGATACAGTAGAGTACAGAGGCAAAAGCATTTTGCAAATCTGTGTGTTATTTTTGAGTTGGCATACTTGCTGAAATAATGGAACTGGTTTTCAAGAAGTACTGAGGATAAAACCATATTCAGGTGAAAAGCAAAATGTCATTTTCATTTGCATAGGAAAAATGAAACAGAACAAAAATCGCACGATTTCCTGACCTGACTTAAAATTTTCTATAAATTTTTATTAGCAAATGAAACGGGGAAATTTTTATTAGTTAAAAAGTAAAAACTAGTGAAAAAGTGAAACTCGTAGACTGTCTTGGGCGTCAGGCTGGGGTCTCAGACCCTGCATGATGATGGGGAGGGGCTCTTATTTCCTGCTGAGAGACTATGGTAGTTCCCAGAGCCCCTCCTACAGTTCAGCATCCAGCTGCCTCTGCTGTATTGATGAGGAAAGGCAGGTGGAGGAAGATGCAGAAAAGCTGCTGGCTTCACTGTCCCAGCTCAAATCAGGCTTGTCGTAAGGGCTCAAATAATACGAGTTAGCGTTATTAGAGCTTCATCCTCACTAGAAATTTCAAGACACGCATCATTCTAAAACCATTCACTCACATCTCCGTCGTTGCAGACGATCGCTCTGGGGACCGAATCATCACACACGTTCTTAGTTCTCAAACTTAAAGATGTATGAGGTCCCGATTGCTGCCACATCCAATTACACTCTTAATTGATGGCTCTAAATCAGCCCATCCCAGGCATGGAGAGTTTAAAAACAACTTGTCAGAAATTCTGTGGCATCTGTTTTCAGGAGCCAGGGGCAGTCCTGAATCCACAATGTAATCTCGGGTTCTGAGAGACTGATAGAAATATGAACTGGCTGCCCCAGCGAGATGATTGATTGACATAATTTTGTTTTGTCATTTCAAGGGAGTGAAAAAAATAGAGCCCGAATTGTATGAACAATTCATCAACCACAGATTTGGAGAAGAAATTCTGTACCGGGTAGATCTGTGCTCCATGCTGAAGAAAAAGCAAAGTAATGGTTATTACCACTGTGAGGCTTCCATTGTGGTTGGTAAGTGCCGTTGAAAACACCGTTCAACATCTTTAGTTTTTATTTCTTAACGTCACTTTTTAAAATAAATATTTCAGGTTGCTTTCCAGGATTCTGTATTTTTCCCATTTACTGTAGTGGCAAAGTAGAAAATGTGTAGAGAATTGTCCTCTGTCAGCTTCTATACTTCTATGCTTTAAACATGATCATAATGAGGTCTTGAAATGTTGGCTGAAAATTTGTTTCAGTTTAATTTTATTTTATGAACACAAGGAAAGCACTTTCTTTAGGGAGGGCCACATGGCCACACGCTCCCCAGTGGCACTGTTATGGTATCTGGCTACCATCATGGGTAGTGACCCGACTCTGGCAGCTTCACTAAAGGAAGGTGAAATGTGCGTGGCCTATGATGTTCAAGACTTTTGTTCTTCTGTAAAGAAAACATACTTGGAGAGAAAATAAAGGTCCACACCCAGATAGCTCTGAGCTTGTGCGTGAATGATGTCATCTTACCCAGTCAGGCCATCTCCCACCTTCTGGAAGGGGGATGCATTTCACAAGAGCCTGCTCTGTTGGACCCAAATGTACTATCCCAGCAAGACACCATTGCAAAGAACTGAACTTGAAGACAGCCCGATTTATATGCTTTTAAAGTAGCATGGAAGCAAGAAGATAAATGTGTGTAAATATTTCAAGTTCTTCAGCCAAAGTAATTTCTCTCCACATCAGTTCTGGGGAAAAAAAAAATACAAAAAACCTGTATTGGACCTACCTACATCCTGAAAGAATCCTTATGTACTGAAGCTTTTTGAAAGATTTAAAAAATGTTTAAGAGGCAATTTTATTTGGAAATCCTCATTACAGATCTTTAGGGGAGTCATCATTGACCTACTGCAGATAATTTGGACAAGCAGGTTCAGATGTAGTCTGACTTTTGTATTCTGAAACACTCCAATCCTGTTTTGGGGAGGATTTTCATGCTTCCATCAGGTTTTGTTGAGGTCCAAACGCTTGCCCACAGGGGAAATGCAGATCCTTCTGTGTAGTGTGGATTTTGTCTGGCGCTCCCAGTCTCCTGTGAAACTGCTAGACCAGGCTCGAATGGGGGAACAGCGCTTCATTCCCTTCCCTGCTCCATTAAGAAAAATTAGGGGATGTAGATTTTACTGAAGATCCTGTGAGATTTGCATTATAAAACTAGTCGTGCGCATCAGCTCAGTTGCCAGTAGGGGGCGCTGTTTCACCAGCCCTCCTTCAACCGGCTCCAGCAGGTTTCTGCTTTCCGGGTCTTTGGTCGGCAGTGCACGGACTTCCCCTGCTGTAGGGAATGTTCATCCAATCTGCCCCACATAGCGCAGCCCATCAACTCCTGGTGCAGAGTAACTCTTTTATTCTGTCTCAACAAATTTTGAATTCTTGTACTTTTATTTATTTATTTTTGGTTTTTCGAGGCAGGGTTTCTCTGTGTAACAGCCCTGGCTGTCCTGGAACTCTTGTAGACCAGACTGGCCTCGAACTCATGGAGATCCGCCTGCCTTTGCCTCCTGAGTGTTGGGATTAAAGGCATGCGCCACCACCGCCCCCTTAAAGTGTTCTTTACTTATTACAAACACTTTAATTTTCCCGTCACCTTTAGTGATGCCAACATGAATTTTAAAACGATACCTGTCTGTAATGTCATTTATTATAATTGAGTCTAATATAAATGAGTTTTTTTTTTTTTCCTTTTCCTTTGAGTATGTGCATGCACGGAGGCCTGACATCAGGGCTAGGTTTCTTCCTCTGTTGCTCTCCACCTTACTCTTTTGAGGCAGGGTTTCTCACTGAAGCTGGCGCTCACTGATTGGCTAGAGTGGCTGGTATGTGGGCTCCGACAATTTCCCCCTGGAGCTGCAAACACTCTCCACCATGCCTGGCTTTCCCGTGGGTGCTGCAGATAGAAACTCAGGTCTTGTGCCCTGAGCACCGCCAGCCTCTTCCCAGTTTACATCTGAGCTGGTCATCCTCACGCCATTATTATTATTCAGGTGAAGGAGATTAATGCGGAAATCTGGTGACTAGAAGTTGTGAAGCAGGGATTCGGTTTTAGGAATATTTTATTGTTTTAAAGATCTTTGAATATTCCTCCAACTTGGTACGGTATATGCTAGAAATCACAAATTGGCAGCCCTTCATGCTGTATTTGATTGGCAAAGAGTTTTTGTTTGCTTCATAATTTGAACCAATTGTTATGATTTGAATATAAAATATCCCTTAGAGGTGTGTGTGTGTGTGTGTGTGTGTTTGAACACTTCATCCCCTGCTGATGACACTGTCTGGGGAGACTATGCAGCCTTTAGGAGGTGGGGCTTAGTTAGAGGAGGTAGGTTACCAGGGGTGGAATTTGAGGCTCTCTGTTTCCTGAATTGTAAGAATGTGAACAGGCTCCCTCCCATCCCCACAGTCCCGTCCAAGCTGCTGTCTTGCTGTGGACAGACTGTAGCCCCAACTGTGAGCTAAAGCAAGCTTTCTTCCTCCTGTGCCGTCCTTCTTATCCAGACATGACAAAAGCAGCTGAAACACTTGCCAACATTGGGGGGGGGGGTTGTATTAAAAACTTTAGATTTCTACTTTCTTGTTAGCTCTTCAAATGTGGCTGCATTGTTCCGGTGTCCTTCAGAGTGCTACCGCTTCCTGCAGGGAGTAGCAAGCAGGGCTCAGTGACATTGGATGTAGCTACTTTTATCACCGTGCTCCTTCTCCTCTCCCACAAATCTGCTTAACTTCCCCACTCCCAGTGAGGCTCTGGAGCATGTCTGGATATTCATCCTGTCCACTGTACATCGCCCCCGCCGCCACTGGCACCACTGCCACCAGAGGCCGTTTCTTCTTCCTCTCCTCTGTACCTTCCCAGGGAGTAAATGGTACAGGAATTTGAACAGATGTGTTGTTGTCCCGCCCAGGCCAGTGAGGCTCGGTCTTCCAGGATGGAAGGAAATGCCAAAGATCTGTGTACGGTTGAGCATTTGAACTCCAGAGTAATGCAAACAAAGCACGTTTTATTTTTATTATTAATGCAGGCAAACATGAGGTGACTTTTCTAGTTCACTTAAGCAAATACAAGTCCTGTAAGGAATACACCTGGTGCTGTGTCTTACCATCTTTGGTCACATGAAAAGAGCCAAGGTCTTTGTCTTCTTTTACAGAGATAATATGTGGGCATGTCAGACTATTTCCTATATGTCTTTGTTTTTAAGCATCTTCACTTAGCATAGTTTATGAGATTCTTTCTAGAAGGCCTTTCTGTGGGAAGAACAGTCTGCACTCTGTCCCATCCATAGTCCATAGGAGATTTACAGCTTTCTTTCGCAGGATTCCTCGTGTGCAGGCAGTGCTCTCCAATGTTAGAAAAGATACATTTTAGTTGTCTCATAAATACAGCTTTGCATAATAATATGCCTATTTATCATTGAGCGCCTTGCAAACCTAACTTCAGTTATCAGCTAAAATTTAAATTGAAGAAAAAGTAAGAAACCCATTTTCCTCATGTAGGCAGGAATGAAATTCAGCCCACGGACCCTAGGGCTGTGTGGGCGCTTCCTGTGAGGTGGGCGTGTTGGTAATGTTCAGCAGCAAGGGTGCCTGCTGCATTCACACTTCCTCAGGGAGGGCAACTGACCCCTTTGTAAGACCAGTGAGCAGTTTAGGGCTTTCAAAGACTAGTTTGCTGTCCGTACCAGACATACTTTATGGGTAGCAGTGGTGAAACTGGAAAGGTCTAGAAGTTTTATTTCTAGACAGTATTTATTATGTATGACTTCTCTAAGCAGAGATAGAAACAATGATTTTGGGGTGACTCCACATTTTTTGCTTAATAATTTATTAAACACTAATTTGGTGAACTAGTACAGTGTGTTACTCTTCTCTTGGATGTCACGATAGAAAGAAGAATAGGACCCAGCCCTGAAGAATGATACAGTGTTACTGGCAGCCAAGATAACTTCTGAGAAATGGGGAGGAAAAAGAGTAGAGGAAGAGAGTGTGCGCCTGACAACAAGGGCTTTGTTATGGGGCACTGCGGAGGAAGTTTACTTTTGGGAGAGTGTGGGGATGAGGTAGAGGAGACTTTAAATGGGCGGGGTGACACTGAAAGGGATGGAGTATGGGGATTTTGAGAGCAGTCGGAGGAAAGCGCTGGCGGGAGCCACTGTGACTGCCAGAAACACCTTGAGTGATACCAACAGTGTCAGTATTGCTGAAGCTGTAGGCTTGGAGCTTTCTGGGCTTCCATGTCTGAGCTAGTTGCACGGGTAGGACTATCCATGCTGAGGCGGTGAATGGATTCTGAAGAGAACGGAGAAAATAGTTGAGGGAGTACATTGAGTTTAATACTCCAAGTCATGCAGATGCCTCTCATTTTGTGATGGGTTGCAGCCTGATAAACCCATGGTAAGCTGATAATATTGGAAGTAGAAAATGCATTTGTAGATATAATCTAATGAGCATCATAGCTTAGGCTAGCCTCCCTTGGCATGCAGGTTAACCTATAATTGGGTAAAATCATCCAACACAAAGGCTTGTGTTTTATGTGTGCTTGTGTTTGTGTGAAGGTCATAGGCCAACCTTGGCTATCATTTTCAAGAGTGGTTCACCTTCTTTTCAGACAGGGCTTTTTTACTGACCTGGAACTCAGTGAGTAGGTTGAGCTGGCTGGCCAGCAAACCTAGGGATCAGCCTGACTCTCCCCAGAGATGTTTTTAGTCTTAATTTTTAAAAAAGTTTTAAAATATATTTTGATCATGCTTTCCCTCTTCCCCAACTCTCCCAGCCCCTTTGCACCTTCCTATCCACCCAATTCCATGCCCTTTCTTCTTTCCCTCTTTCTTTAAAAATAAGCAAACAAACCCCCAAGAACCCCCCCCCCACACACACATGCACAATCAGAAACTAAAGTATATAAGCAAAGTAATATGAGATCCAGAAGGTCGGCTGTCTTACCCACCGAGACTCATTGGAGAGACTAATTTTTGCTTTCTAACTTT